CCCCACCACCCCCAATCCCTCTACATTCCGCCTGTCTCCACTACAAGAGAGGTGAATATGAGCTCAGTGTGTAATACAAAAAGAGAAGCTGAAAATCACTCTCCTCCCTTCGATGACGCGCGGGGCAGAAACAATTACCAGAGCTATCCATCACCTTACGCTCTTCCCGTAGTTACATGGAAGGTAACCTCTCTCCCTCCCCCCCCCCCCCCCCCCTCTTCCTCTCCTCCCACCACTTTCCCCTCTCTTATCTCCCTCCCCTCGACCCTCCCCTTCCCCCTCATTCTGCAACTTTGTCTTACAACGGCTTTTATATGCATGTGTTTGAAGGGCGCCACTGATAGGTCCTACTTCTTTACTTTTTCTCTGTTATGTATGTCTGTCCTACTTTTTCCCAGCTCTAAATGACCATTGTTGTGTTAATGTGCTCCTCGTTACTCCTCTATTTCTTTCTTCATCATGTTCTTCAACTGAATGTTGTTGGAGAGTGCTCTTGTGTTGTCTAGTCCGTCTACTTTTGTTCTTTTTTCCCCAATTTCGTTGTCTGATGTCATGACTACTCACAGTACGTAGGTGATTGGCGGGTGCTCCTGTGTGGTTTGCTCCTTTTTTGCCTTACCCCTATCGTACTTATGTCTCCTTCTTTCTTGCATTTGTTACTCTCCTGTAACATCTCTGATCTTCGGCACTTATATGATCCAATGTGTTGAGCAAGCCCCGTAAAAAGCATAACTAAAACTAAATATAACTAAATTATAAGTGAGCCTGCAAACTTTACCTTTAAGCCCCAAAAACCCTTTTTTGCAAAACAAAAATTTCATTATAGCAATTGCAGTAAGAAAAATGAAAATTGAAAAGTACAGGATACTTTGTCGAGATAAGACTACTTGCTACTTTTAGCTGTATATGAAATGAAAAGTAATCTGAAATCAATATTATGTAAACTGACTACCTCTCAAGGGAGATAATTCATTTCTCTTAAATGCCATTTCGGTTCTAAATTCGGGAATTTTCTGTCATCGAGCTTCTCCGCTTTTCTTCTAGGATATAGCTTTCCACATAGAGCTATTTGAGTGGGAGGCTGGTGGGTGCTCTGGTGTTGTTTGACTCTTCTTTCCTATCAAACGTCAATTGTCTTTATCTCTCCTTTTTTTGCGTTCCTTACTGTCTTGCAACACCTCTAATCTTGGGCACTTGTTTGACCTGATTGTGTTGCAACCGCCGTAAAATTAATGTTTACGAACACGTAGAGCTGGTTGACATTGATTGGCTAGGTAGTTTTTATATAACGCTCTATCCCAAACTAGTATAAGATCTTAGCGCTTTACATCAATCGCATCATCACTGAGCGTAATACTTCATTCACACAAGATATAGATCTAGATCTAGCATTGCAGAGTAACAAGAAAACTAGATCAACCGCATAAAGAGGAATTTTCAGAACCATTCGTCGTGTCTTTGGCGTTGTAGAACACTCACAGCCAATCGCTGAGGGCTAGACATACTCATAATATAGGATGTGTATTCTGGTCAGTCGACAGCACTTAAAGATGTGCTTTTCGGGGCTCTAAACGTCATTATTCAAAAACATGTCTGGATTTTGTTTTCTTTGTCTGAAACTTTAAATGGCATGCAACAACAGGCATATTATAAAAACATGCAAATTCTTGTTTACGAATTAAGCAGTTGTGAGCGCTGTGAAACTGTTACTAAACTAAACTAAGCGTGTTTATGACTTTTGTACATGATGGTTCGAAACGTGCAGAAGCATCGCCTTTGCTCTGCTGTTGGTTTGACATATCATTCTTACAATATGAGTGCTTTGTCCTTGAAGATTTAAAGTTATTCAGAATCACTGCAGCTTTCGGGTACGACTGAGATAAACCAGCAACATTAAAATGTATCGAGAAGATGTAATCAAGGAACTCCAGTCTTCTTTTTCTTTCGTTACGATTGAACTATCTGCGTCCTAATCACACCAGTTTATGATAGATCGTTGTACCTTTGCACAGAGTGAAACTGGAACTCCCGAAGAGCTTATATGACAAGGTTTGCAATTCGGCGACGCAATGTCGCGGTTATGAAGCACGTAACTCGATGACGTTTTGAGCACCCCGTGGAGAGCTCATCCTGCCCCGGGATGGATGAACTGCTCTGTACACCGCAACCGGCGGGGAGATTAGAGGTGCTCGTGAGATGAACGGGAGATTAGGAAAACAAACTGAAGGAAAAGCCTAAAACGAGGAGTAAAGGATCCCCCCGTGATAAACATCGCAGCCTGACAACATTGACGCGCCTCACGCTGGTGTCTTCCGGGGCCCACAGATCGACAGTGTGCCACACTGGGGTTGATGCTCTCACTCGCTTATTTTGTTGTGTTTCTTTTTCTTTTCTTTCTATATTTTCTGTGTGTGTGTGTGTCTGTCTGTCTCTCTTTCTCTCTCTCTCTCTCTCTCTC